CTCGAGCCCCTCTACCTCCCTCCTCAGTTCAATCATATTGTATTGATTGTACCACTTCCTCCAATGACTGTTGGTCTAACGTCGCAGAAATCCTATTTACATTACGAATACATGTTCTTAAATTATTCTGTAATTGATTATAATCAGTGTTTCCCTGTTCTAATGTTGCAGTTACATTACGAACAGTTTGTCCAACGGTAGAAAGTACATCATCAGAATGATCAGACGCAATTTTTATTAAATTTGAACGACCGTTTTGATGATTTGTTTTTTACCGGGCAAGTACGACCGGAAAAAGCACATCAGCCAATCACAGTTACTTAATGAAAATACACCATAACTGTAATTCAACCAACTGTGGCTGACCAATCATATAGCACTGATATTACGAAAACGCAAACAACCAATCGTATTAACTTAACGCTAATTACAACCAACCTCTGAATTGCAGTTAACTTGAATTGCATTACAGTTAACTTGAAATGATTTGCAGTTAACTTGAAATGCATTCAAGTTAACTGCAATTGAATTAGAGTTAACTCTAATTCATTTCAAGTTAACTGCAATCCAATGTATTGCAGTTAACTTGAATTCAATTCGAGTTAACTGTAATTGAATTACAGTTAACTGTAATGCATTCGACTTAACTGCAATTCAGAGGTAAATGATAAAACGGCTTGCCATACGACCTGGCCATGACGGTGTCGGTCGTGATAGTGTGAGAGTAGCTTTGTGTATGTGGTGTTGCTGACAAGTCGTTTCAATCTTTGATTAAGATCCTAATGCTTAATACAAAGTCAGCCCTATGCTGACCCTCCACTGTGATCTTATAGCGTCAGTCACAGCCTTGGGGTTTGCAAAAAATGTTCGAGGCAGCCCTACCGTGTTCAGTTTAAACTGATGCCTGCATTTCTAGTAAGTTGTAAAAATCGTAAGTCGTAACGGCTATTGGTTGTTGAGGGCAGTGGCGGCTCTAGGATATAATTTATGGGGGGGGGGGGCTAAGTATTTTTGGGTGTAACTATAGCGCGCAGTGTTATCTGAAGGCCAGAGCCAGAGTAGGTATTGGAGGGGGTGTCCCCTCCTCCCAAAACGACATTTAAAAAAAAATGGAACTTCTAGATGGCCAGAAATGGCTGGGATGGGAAACCCTCTGCCCCCGCTGGCGCCGCCACTGGTTGAGGGTTACAATGATCTTATGTATTTTTCATAAACTTTACTTTTCTACCTCCCAGATGCTTTTATATCGCTAACATTTGCACCCTGCATGTGAAGCTACGTCGCTCTGCCTATGCGAAGGAATACGTGTTATACCATGTGTGTTCTAAATTTGCAAGTTGTGCAGTTTTCCCTTCCTTGAACTGATGTTTCTGTTTAAAGGGGTGCCATCTTTTTGTATGAAAAACTGTCTTTTAAGGTTCGGGCGAAGTTGGTACCTTTGTAGCGTAGCATTGTCTATGCAAAGTTTTTTACTGGGTTTAGCATGTATTACACATTTTGGTTTAGATCCTTTGTGGTCTTTGAAAGTTCCAAATGTGAAAAGACTTTATTACGACTTATCTAGTTATCCTGTTTATATTACTACTTCACTGGCTCTTAGACAGATGCGTAATAACAGGCCAGGAAAAGTGCTTTATAAAGTGAGTGTTCGTACTTGTCGCGAGTAGAGAACCTTGGGTGAGTCAATAGTTTTAAGTAAATAGGTGTGGTTATGGCTTGAAGGGGCGTAATAAAAGCATTCTTTGCACCCCGGCACAGTATGGACTAGTGGTGTGCTAGTAGGGTCTGGCAGATTCTTTGCCTTATGCATAAATGAAATGGCACACAGATAGGAGCGTATTAGTGAGAGCCAACTTGTGTTTATGTAAGTAGCAGATATACAACGAAATGCATCGTTCTGGACTTCGAAGAGTCAGAGGGGTTTTATGAGTTTTTAGGAATTCTTTGAAATGTAGCCAGTGCTTTTTATAGGTGGTCGATGTTCCCATGGCTAATGCTCCTCAGATCAATGTCTTTTCAATGGAGAGAAGTTTTCTGGTCGAGGATGTCTTAGTACTGCTAATGGGGTTGGTGACATGTTGTGTTTTCGCATGAGTTCTGGATTGACTTGCAGACGGGAAGTGGCATTACAAAGACACATTATTTTTCCAGGTAATGTACATGGTAAATTGGTGTGTAAACAACACCAACCCAGTGGCAAGGTAATGTACATATGATGGATTGGTGTATAGGCAACACCACAAACTGCAAAACATGTGGCACGGTAATGCACGTATTGAGTATCAGTGCATAGACAACAACACAAATGCCAATCATGTGTCAAGTTCAAGTACGTATTGATTATTGATGTGTGACAACAGCATAGATGCCAGCCACGTGTCATATTGGTAGACGTTTTGGTGTTCAATACATATCAAGATATTATCATTATTATCACCACCATTATCATTATCATCATTACTATATAAATAAATATATGAAAAATAGTGGGGTACTATTTTCAAATAACATCTCTCATAATAATGCGTGGCAATGTCATGTCAACTAATTCCTTCCTTACCACATTTTTGCAAAGAATGAAGCAGGGACGTTGTTGCATCGCTATATTTTTCCTCTTAATTATGTCTTTTGTTATTGTAAAAAATGTGCAAACAATTTTTCTGGTTTGCGATAAATAAATATAGTAGATTTTTTTATAATGAAGTCGAGGTGAGAGGTAGACGAAACTGTTCAGTGAGTACCGTATACTTATATTGGTTTATATAGTTAAATATCTTAACAGTTTTAACGAGAATTCCGTTTTATTCTCAAATATTTTTGAAATGTAAATAAACGTTAGTACGGTATGTTTGTTTGTTTGTTTTAATGATTCAAATATTAGTTTACCACCTATTGTTTTTTTTAATACCAGTAGTTCCATGTTTTCAATACCTAAAAAGCTTCGGAATAGCAGCCTTGGCAGAATACCTACAAAGCTTCGGAATAGCAGCCTTGGCAGTTCAGACATACGTGCATTGAATTGTTCTTTTACTAACCTCCGGGAGAGTGATACATTCTACATGAGCAATGTTGGGTGACAAATTCCGATTCACATTCGATTATACATTTATTGTGTGTGTATGGTTCGCTAAGATACTTCAGATTTTCAGCGCCCGCTTTGATGCAATCACTGTACGGAAATGGTAAACTGGTTATCTGTAGAAACAATAATAAATAACCACTACAAACAAACACTGAGAAAAAAGTGACGTAATTTTTTAATTTAATTTTCATCAAAAACCTCCGAAACTGAGAGATATTATACTTAAAAACATTCACTAAATTATCAACACACCAACGAGTATAAATTAGGCTAAAATTAACTCTTAAAAGTTCTCTTCCGTTAAATTCAATAAATTAGTATAACAGAAATATAAAATATAAAATACAATGAGCATTAGCTGTCTATTTGTAAATAATGTAATCACATAATCTTATTATTTTACCTCTGATTTCCGAATTGCTATTTTCGTTTGCGCTCCCGGTGACACATCGATTCCAGATGCCTGCAAATCTGGAATTTCATTTTCATTTGCCACATATATTCGAAATCCAACATTTTCTCTTGGTGCGGCGTAATATTCCTGCACTTCGACGTTCAAAATTAAACTCAAACCGTATGTATATCCTAAAATAAAGAAAATGGCAAACAGTTTGTGCTAGTTGAATGGCCGAGCGGTTATGGCCGAGCGGTTAAGGCAAGGGCGCCTCAGGCAAGGGCGCCTCAACGTACAGCCATAATATCGGCGCTGGTTCAAGCGGCACGCTCGCCTGTCGGTTTTTGTGGCCGACTATAATATAGACTGTAATAATAACAAGATAATCTGAGATTACAAACTCTCGCCCTGCTGTCGCGCCAAATTTTTGCATCCGCTGGTTGTTGTATTATAGGGGTATAATATTACCAACTATATATATCAGGCGAAATGTAGCCGAGCTGAAAAGATGCACGTTTCGTGTGTAAAGTTAATCGAACGTATGGATTATGTTTTTATTATTTGTGCATCTTATTGAATACTTTTTTTCCATATTTCATTATTTATCACATTTTTTAATTGGGACAGCAGTTAAAAAACATTGAAAAATCTGTATCTTACTTCTCCAATCCATCCGCCAAAATGAGGCCTATCATAGGCCTCAAGTAGCAAGCCCATCAGTCAGGCTTCCACGCCTTCCTGGCTGCTTTTAGTCCGCTGGCCAGAATTTGACACATGGTCGGTACGCTCGAGTCAGTCCGCGGTGAATCCGCTATGGTCAGCCTGGCCTAGCCAAAAAAAAACTCAGTTCAACGATCCGCTCGTTGTTATTCATGGTTTGACACCTGATAAGAGAAAGCAAGACTGTGGCCTCCCACAGGGCTCGGTATTTGGACCGTTGTTGTTACAGTTATATTCACCACCCCTATGGAAAATTATCAAAGCTTATGGATTCAGGTCATGCTTTATGCAGACGATGCACAGTTATACTACCAGTTAAAACCATCTGACAGATCGCTTGCAGTAACCAAGTTGTCCTCTTGTATTCCTGATGTTCAATCTTGGGCGGTAGCTTACAATTTCCCACTGAACGAATCAGACCGAGATAATCCATTTTGTTTCCAAATTTGTAAAACGATAGTCCCATGAGCTCTGTTATGATTTCTTTCACTCTTATTGATGTCAATGCAGAAGTCAGGAACTTGGGTGCTGTATTTGATTCACTAATGCAATTTACGCAGCACATTGAAAATTTGTATTATCATATTCAGGAATCAGGAAAATATGCAGCATTAGAAAGTAACTTTATAGAAGGGCAACAGTCAGACTGGTACATGCTTCCATTACCTCATGCCTGGATTGGTGTAAGTCTCAAGCATGGATTACCTTAATCTGAACTTGGCAAACTACAGCGGATGCAGAACTAATTTTCACTGTTCATGGTGGTCTTGGTTAGTTTGAGGTTATTTGTTGTTGTTGTTGTTGTTATTGTTATTGTTGTTATTGTTATTGTTATTGTTGTTATTGTTATTGTTGTTATTGTTATTATTGTTATTGTTATTATTGTTATTCTTATTATTGTTATTGTTATTGTTATTGTTACTGTTATTATTGTTATTGTTATTATTATTGTTGTTGTTATTATTGTTGTTATTATTGTTATTGTTGTTATTATTGCTGTTGTTATTATTGTTATTGTTGTTGTTATTATTATTGTTGTTATTATTATTGTTGTTGTTATTGTTATTATTATTATTATTGTTATTATTATTGCTGTTATTATTATTATTATTATTGTTATTATTATGTTATTGTTATTATTGTTATTGTTATTGTTATTATTGTTATTGTTATTGTTATTATTGTTATTGTTATTATTGTTATTGGTATTGTTATTGTTATTGTTATCATTGTTATTGTTATTGCTATTGTTATTATTGTTATTGTTATTGATATTATTGTTATTGTTATAATTGTTATTGTTATTATTGTTATTGTTATTATTGTTATTGTTATTGTTATTATTGTTATTGATTTTTGTTGTTTTTCTTCTTGTTCTTCTTCTTGTTCTTCTTGTTCTTCTGGTTTTTCTTGTTGTTCTTGTTCTTGTTCTTCTTGTTGTTCTTGTTCTTCTTGTTGTTCTTGTTCTTGTTCTTCTTGTTCTTTGTTCTTGTTGTTCTTCTTGTTCTTGTTCTTCTTGTTGTTCTTCTTGTTCTTGTTCTTGTTCTTGTTCTTCTTCTTGTTCTTCTTCTTGTTCTTCTTCTTGTTCTTCTTCTTGTTCTTCTTGATGTTCTTGTTCTTCTTGATGTTCTTGTTCTTTTTGATGTTCTTGTTCTTCTCGATGTTCTTGTTCTTCTTGTTCTTGTTCTTCTTGATGTTCTTTTTCTTCTTGTTCTTGTTCTTGATGTTCTTGTTCTTCTTGTTCTTGTTCTTCTTAATGTTCTTGTCCTCTTCCTCTTCCTCTCCCTCTCCCTCCTCCCTCTCCCTCCTCTCTCTCCCTCCTCCCTCTCCCTCCTCCCTCTCCCTTCTCCCTCTAGATAGAAGATAGATAGATCTTGTATTTTAAAAAAAGAGGAAATTGATCTGATCAGCAGTTCCAAAGTTATGGTATAAAAGGCTGTAAAAAAGGGTGTTTTGAGGATTTTTTTTTAGAGCGGTTTTATCAATTTATGCCAGCGCGCTACTAAAGAGCGCGTACAAATTCATACGATTTTTTTTGTCTGTATGAATCTAGTAAATTTAAGAAATTGTATTCAATTCTGTATATTAACCATAAATTGAAAAATATAGAGCAAAAAACCTCATAGGCCTATTATTATTGTTTAAAGAAATTACAAGATGTTAATAACATTCGGATGTTTTTAAATTTATTTGATTCATTTTTCTTTATCTCTGCCATTACATTATGCCAAAACAGCACGTTCCTTTTACTACTTAATTTTAATTCTTGGAAGTTGGAAGCAACATTTAGTTATTTATGTATATTGTCGGAAACATAATTGCATTATAATCTTACCAATATCGTTGATGAGGGTTTTATTCGGTGGTGGTACGAATGTGTAGCATAAACCATAATTTGTCATTATCTCCACAAAGTCATCTGAGCTGCATTGTTCTCCATTAAAGACACATCTAATTAATATTGGATAATACATACATTCATATCTCACGTAGTACGAAATAAATGTACCATAAACATGCTGCATTTTTGGCCATTAACAGAACTGGTCCATTGCACCCGACTTTTGAAAAAAAAAAAAAAAACCCCGGCTTATAAATCCTGCTGGTTTGTTGAATAGCGATGGGGTCTTAAATTATTTATTGCCAGTGAAGCCCATGAGATGAATATTTACAAGATAATATGCATAAGGGTAACCTGTATATGCAAAATGTGCTTAGCGGTGTACGCGACTATTGTTGGTTTTAAGTAAGAACTTTTATTTATGGCGGCATGCTGATATGAGTTGCAGGGTCATAAGTCATCATGTGGTACTTTTCTGTGAATATATAATTGCATAGATGTAATAACAACAAAATTAAAAGATCTTTTAATTGTTTATATATGACCTTGCTCTGTCAATGATTGAACATTTGATGTCATAAGGGATGTTGTTATCCCTTTTCCAAATGCAGTTAGATAGCTGTGTGGTGTTTAGATATTTGCAGTGGGTGAATGATGATTTATGACTTGTGAATCTAGTTTTGAATGTTCCTTCGGTTGGACCAATATTATTAGATGCTGTTCGTATCGGTAGATACCTTTGCACAATAGATCACATTGTTCATGTGACAGTTTCCGTTTAGTGGACATTACTACTTTTTCAGTCACAACTTTTTTTTATTTTGTGTTTTTTGAGTATCGCCTTGTTATGGGAATTGGCGACACTGCCCATACTTGACTTGCAGCTATACACGATTATATCAACAATCAGCGTATTGCATATGTATTATTATCACTATCATCATCCCCCGTTGAGGTCATCGTGATAATCATAACTATTATCATCATCATCATTATTATTATAATCATTGTCATCATTATCATTACTGTATATTTATGTGTGTGCATATGTATATGTGCTATGTATGTATGTTTGTATATATATAAAAGTATATATATATATATATATATATATATATATATATATATATTGATGTCAGCTTCAGCTTTTCTTACTTGTTTGCGAAGTTTTTTCATTCTTCTGCAATCTTGTTTACAAACATCACTGTTGTGTAAATCATAAATGGTATACCCAAACGATCGACAAGAAACTAAAAGCAACACGAATTTAAGTGCAATGAACCAAGATTAAATTAAAGAAAAATCAGACATGTTTCTTCTGTATCACACAGATAACATCAGTAAACAAAATAAAACATAACAAAAGAACCTACACTACTTATATACTCAGACAAGATGGTAGATTGAAATGCAGGTGATTTGATATTTGTTTCAACTCGTAAGAAAGTTACAACGTGGCAGATTGTTCCATTAATGCACAAACAATTGACAGCTGAAGGAGTACCCAGTATTCGACCCATAATTTCATCTATCGGAACATTATAACTACCATCTCGCCAAATTTCTTAGTCAACTGATTCAACCATACATAACCATTGAATATAGTACACGTGACACTTTTGTCAATACAATCAAACAATGGAAAATCCACAATAAAGTTATGATTTCATTGGACATAGAAAGCTTTTTTACCAATATTCCACTTTATGAGTCTATTGAATTAGTAATTGAATATATTCTGAAATCCGAAACTGAATGCAAAATCAAACCCAAAAGCCTTAGAAAACTATTTAAACTTGCGACAACAGGGACTCATTTTCTGTTTAATGGAACGTTTTTTTCAGCAGACTGATGGAGTGAGCATGGGATATCCACTAGCAGCAGTGCTCGCCAATTTATTTATGGGACATAATGAAAACTTATGGCTAAACAAGATGACTGCCCTAAAGTTGAATTGTACACCGGATATGTGGATGATACATTTTGTGTATTTTAAAATGAGGAAAATGCCACTGATTTTTTAACAAAACTTTAAAATTTATGGAAATGGAAAGGGAAAACGAAAATAAAATCAGGTTTTTGGATGTACTAATTCAAAAACTAGATAGAGGAAACTTAGAAACGTCCACGTACAGAAAACAAACATTCACTGGATTAATAATAGGTTTCCTGAGTTTCTGTCCGTACAGTTACAAACTCAGACTAATCAAGACGCTTCTGGACAGAATCTACAAAATCAACAATACTTGGAAGGGGATGCATCAATACATCATAGATCTTAAGGACATTTTAATAAAGAACTGTTATCCAACGAAATTAATAGAAAAGCATATCAAACAATATGTATACACTAGAATTTCAAAAAAGGTAACATCAAAAGAACCATCAGAGAACGCATTTATATTAAACTACCCTTCAAAGGTCCGATATCTAAGATAACTAAAGAAAAAATAAGTAAATTAGCCACAAAATACTGCAAAGATTTAGAAATAAACATTGTATTTAATTTTAAAAAGTAGGAAATTACCTAAACAACAAGGATAAAATACCAAGTGACCTTAAATCCAACATAATATATAAATTTAGTTGTGGGGGCTGTAATGCCACTTACATTGGTACCGTAAAACGTCTGGCCAATTTTTCATCAGGATTAAGGAACACTTGGTATCAGATAAAAATTCAAACATATTCAAACATATCAACAGCAATCCTAAGTGTAAATCTAAGTCAAACAGAGAAGCTTTACAATCTTACATAAGGTCAAGAACAGTTTTCAACTTAAAATTAAAAATACTAAATGGACTGAGCCATCACTCAACAGTAAAGTGCAGCATTACAACATCACCCTATGCATATAATGGAACAATCTGCCACGTTGTAACTTCTTACGAGTTGAGACAAATATCTAATCACCTGCATTTCAATCTACCATCTCGTCTGAGTATATAATTAGTGTAGGTTCTTTTGTTATGTTTTATTTTGTTCACTGATGATATCTGTGTGATACAGAAGAAACATGCCTTATTTTTCTTTAATCAACTTTTGGTTCATTGCACTTAAATTTGGCCAGCTTAAGATTAAGCAGAACCCTGGCCAGCCCCACGTGTAGCCCCACTGAAAAAAACACAAACAAACTGATCGGATTTTCCCTACTGTTCCGTTTAAATTATATA